AGTAAGCGGAAAAGTCCTGGCTTGGGTAAAGAATTATTCAACCGGAAGGAACCAGAGAGTAACACTCAGCAGCAAGAAATAAGACTGGCGAATTATAACGAGTGGAGTACCTCAAGGATCGGTGCTGGGATCAGTTCTATTTTTAATATACGTGAATGGCATGCCTACAGGAGTAGAATAATATATGTCGATGTTCGCAGATGACGCGAAATTAATGAGAGTAGTTGTGACAGATGAGGATTGTAGGATAATCCAAGAGGACTTGAACAAGCTGCAGAGATGGTCAGAGAAATGGCTACTGAAGTTCAACATGAGCAAGTGTAAAGTTATGGGAATTGGACTAGGTGATAATACTAGAGGGTCACTACACATTGAAGGGAAACAACCTTCTTGAGACGATTCGAAAAAAAGACCTGGGAGTGGACATAACACCAAATTTAACTCCTGAGGCACATATAAATCGGATAACAACAGCAGCGTTCTCATCACTAACAAATATTAGAACGTCATTCAGAAACCTATGTAAGGAGGTATTCACAGTGCTTTACATTGCCTACGTGAGACCAGTCTTAGGGTATGCAGCCCAATCATTGAACACCCATCTAACAAAACACATTAAGAAACTGGAAAAAATTAAAACAAATTGTGACGAAGTTAGTCCAATAGTTGCATGAGATGAAATATGAAGAGCGACTGAAGGAATTGAACCTGATGATGTTAGAAAAAAGGAGAGAGTGGGGAGATATGATAGCACTATACTAAATACTTAGGGGGATTGACAGAGTGGAAATAGACGAAATGTTCACAAGCAATACCAATAGAACAAGGGGACATGGGGGGAAGCTGGACACTCAGACGAGTCTTAGAGATGTTAGTAAATTTTCTTTTAGCGTGAGAGTAGTGGGGAAATAAAATGAACTAAAGGAGCACATATCCTTTAGGTTTAAAACAAGGTATGATATATACGGACAGGAGTCATTGCTTTAAACAACTGAAGACTAGAAAGGCGTGATCTAAGAGCTAATGCTTGATCCTGCAGGCACAAACTGGTAAGTAAAAATATGTGAGCACACACACACACGAGAACATTTGTGTGGTCTTCATGCACCCGAAGAATGAAGCTTGAAGAAGGTTACACAGTAGCTAGCTTAGCTATATATATATATATATATTAGTATATTTTGGTAGCAGTCTTTCCTGTAGACATATTTTATTAAATATGACCGAAAAAGTAAGATTAATAATTCTAACACGAATTTTCTCAATCTTTCGTACATTATGCTTCACTGTTGGAGGTAAATCAAAAATCACTTCTCCAAAATTCATTTTTATTTCTAGTCTGACGCGACACGGGCGCGTTTCGTAAAACTTATTACATTTTCAAAGACTTCACAAATACACAACTGATTAGAACTTGCGTTTCCCTGATTTTATATCTACATTTGAGTGAGGTGGGAAGGGTGATGTGGCATTACATTTGAGTAAGGTGGGAAGGATGATGTGGCATTAGAGGATATTAATAGGGTATTAAAAGTATCAACACAAGACAGAACACGAAACAATGGATATTGAATAGAAGTGTTTGTAGAAAGCCTATTGGTCCATATTTCTTGATGCTTCTATATTGGAGCGGAGTCTTGAGGTGGGTAGAATATAGTTGTGCAATAATTGGCTGTTGATTGCTGGTGTTGACTTCTTGATGTGTAGTGCCTCGCAAACGTCTAGCCGCCTGCTATCGCTGTATCTATCGATGATTTCTGTGTTGTTTACTAGGATTTCTCTGGCGATGGTTTGGTTATGGGAAGAGATTATATGTTCCTTAATGGAGCCCTGTTGTTTATGCATCGTTAAACGCCTAGAAAGAGATGTTGTTGTCTTGCCTATATACTGGGTTTTTTGGAGCTTACAGTCCCCAAGTGGGCATTTGAAGGCATAGACGACGTTAGTCTCTTTTAAAGCGTTCTGTTTCGTGTCTGGAGAGTTTCTCATGAGTAGGCTGGCTGTTTTTCTGGTTTTATAGTAAATCGTCAGTTGTATCCTCTGATTTTTGTCTGTAGGGATAACGTTTCTATTAACAATATCTTTCAGGACCCTTTCCTCTGTTTTATGAGCTGTGGAAAAGAAGTTCCTGTAAAATAGTCTAATAGGGGGTATAGGTGTTGTGTTAGTTGTCTCTTCGGAGGTTGCATGGCTTTTCACTTTCCTTCTTATGATGTCTTCGATGAAACCATTGGAGAAGCCGTTATTGACTAGAACCTGCCTTACCCTACAGAGTTCTTCGTCGACTTGCTTCCATTCTGAGCTGTGGCTGAGAGCACGGTCGACGTATGCGTTAACAACACTCCTCTTGTACCTGTCAGGGCAGTCGCTGTTGGCATTTAGGCACATTCCTATGTTTGTTTCCTTTGTGTAGACTGCAGTGTGGAAACCTCCGCCCTTTTCCATGACTGTTACATCTAGAAAAGGCAGCTTCCCATCCTTTTCCGTCTCATAAGTGAAACGCAGCACGGAACTCTGCTCAAATGCCTCCTTCAGCTCCTGCAGATGTCTGACATCAGGTACCTGTGTAAAAATGTCGTCAACATACCTGCAGTATATGGCCGGTTTCAAGTTCATGTCGACTAAGACTTTTTGCTCGATGGTACCCATGTAGAAGTTTGCAAACAGGACACCTAGGGGAGAACCCATAGCGACCCCATCTACTTGCTTATACATGTGCCCATCCGGGCTCAAGAAGGGTGCCTCTTTAGTACAAGCTTGGAGTAGTTTCCTCAGAATACTTTCTGGCATGTCAAGAGGAGTACAGGCTGGATCACGATACACTCTGTCGGCTATCATTCCGATTGTCTCGTCCACAGGTACGTTGGTAAACAGCGATTCTACGTCCAACGAGGCTCTTATCCCTGTGGCCCGTGCGCCCCGCAGTAAGTCCACAAATTCCTTTGGAGACTTCAGGCTGAAGGCGCAAGGAACATAAGGAGTCAGCAGGCCGTTGAGTCGCTTCGCCAATCTGTACGTGGGTGTGGGTATCTGGCTAATGATTGGCCGAAGTGGGTTTCCAGGCTTGTGCGTCTTGACATTTCCATACGCATATCCAGGTTTATATTCCCCAATGATCTTTGGCAGGTGGAGTCCGGATTTCTTGGCGTTCACAGTTTCGATCAGTTTGTTGACCTTTGCTTTTAATTCGGCTGTAGTGTCCTTCGTTACCCTTTGGAACTTAGTTTGGTCAGAGAGTATGATGTTCATTTTCGCCAGATATTCGTCTTTTTTAAGAATGACATATATTGGCGACTTGTCACCTCTCCTGACAACTATCTCCTTGTTCTCACGAAGGCTTTTAGCTGCCGCTCTAAGCTCGGGGGACAGTATGGTGCTTCTGTAGTTTGCCTCGATAAAATATCGCCAGGATCTGATTCGTGATCAGATATACAAGGCAGAGAATGAAATCAAAGACAAAAAAACGCAACTACTTCATGCTACAAACGAGTGGAGAAATAGCAACATCGACCATAGTATCCGTACCCGCATTGAACAACACCTCGACATCCTCACAGACCAACATCACCTCAGCACTGAAACAAGGATTATCAAGAAACTAACAACATTATATGGAGGACCTATGGCAATTCCACGACCAAGAGATGGCTTCCTGAACCTTGCAGGAATTAACCTCACTGAGGACCAAGTCACTCTCCTAAATCTGGGCATAAACTGTCATGTTATGTCCAGACCGAGTGAAATGGCCCGGAAAGTGGAGTTGGAAATTCTGTTGGACGACATATTCGACCTCGAGACACAAAAGAAGGTCACTACCAAAGATACCTTACAAGCAGAACTTATTGCAGAAGGAGGAAAGAATCGAGGCAACTACAGAAGCACCATACTGTCCCCCGAGCTTAGAGCGGCAGCTAAAAGCCTTCGTGAGAACAAGGAGATAATTTGGTAAAATGCTATGCCCAAGATAACTATCCGAGTGCCGGCGGTGGGGTGGTTCATATAGCCTCGGCTATCACCTCATTATGTCCGGTCGTGATGGTCAAGTGGATTAAGGCGTCTTGTACATACCAGATGCGTTGCTTCTGGGAGTATGGGTTCGAGTCACTTCTGGGGTGTGAGTTTTCAGTTGCATATGTCCTGGGGACCATTCAGGCTTGTTCGCATTTGTGTTCCTCACGTGTGCCCCAAAGAATGAGGTGATTTGGTAAAATGCTATGCCCAAGATAACTATCCGAGTGCCGGCGGTGGGGTGGTTCATATAGCCTCGGCTATCACCTCATTATGTCCGGTCGTGATGGTCAAGTGGATTAAGGCGTCTTGTACATACCAGATGCGTTGCTTCTGGGAGTATGGGTTCGAGTCACTTCTGGGGTGTGAGTTTTCAGTTGCATATGTCCTGGGGACCATTCAGGCTTGTTCGCATTTGTGTTCCTCACGTGTGCCCCAAAGAATGAGGTGATTTGGTAAAATGCTATGCCCAAGATAACTATCCGAGTGCCGGCGGTGGGGTGGTTCATATAGCCTCGGCTATCACCTCATTATGTCCGGTCGTGATGGTCAAGTGGATTAAGGCGTCTTGTACATACCAGATGCGTTGCTTCTGGGAGTATGGGTTCGAGTCACTTCTGGGGTGTGAGTTTTCAGTTGCATATGTCCTGGGGACCATTCAGGTTATATATATATATATATATATATATATATATATATATATATATATATATCGAGAAGTGTGTTTCATGTTGGGCTTTACTCCAGTCAACCTCTGGAGGGTTATTAACACAGCCACAATTAATTAAAGACCAACCAGCAAGTGTATATTGAAAATATATATACACCAAGAATTGAGGTATACCTCTCAGTATACCTACTGTATAAGTATCCCTGTTCTTGCCAGTTTCGTTAATCTAGAGTGTGAACTGATATTATTTCATAATCTAATAACCAAAATAAGTTTGAATTATGACCTTAGATTGCTGGTTAACCTGAAAGGACTATTTCAGGTCTCCTGGACAACAACGTGAGCGATGATCTAAAATGTGCACAAATTATCATCCAAGAGAGAGAGAGTTGGAATGGCAAGGGGACCGGATACTCAGCCTGGTTAGTAGGAGATACTTCTCTAGATTACAATCTCAGAGTGTTTTTGTCTGCTATTGTTCATGCTGTTTCGTTTCATATTATATTAGTAGTGTTAATTAATGTTACATAATCGATGTCTAATACTGTTTTTTTTTCAACACACAGGGTAGCTTACACAACAAATTGTCAATACTTGAATCTTGACCAATATATGTCTCAATGTTGGGGTTCCGGATGAACAGAAAACGAGATCACGAGTGTTGGGACCGGGTAAAACTCCCCCATTCCGACCCTTGGACCAATTGAGAGAGACCAACCGGATACAAGTCATATACAAACGACGGTTCGCCAATGGATTTTAAAACCTACCTAACCCCGGGAGGGTTAGCCGGTCGGCCGAGCGGACAGCACGCTGGACTTGTGATCCTGTGGTCCTGGGTTCGATCCCAGGCGCCGGCGAGAAACATTGGGCAGAGTTTCTTTCACCCTATGCCCCTGTTACCTAGCAGTAAAATAGGTACCTGGGTGTTAGCCAGCTGTCACGGGCTGCTTCCTGGGGGTGGAGGCCTGGTCGAGGACCGGGCCGCGGGGACACTAAAGCCCCGAAATCATCTCAAGATAACTCAAGATAACCCCACCCAAATCTGCTTTACCTCACCCAACCAAGCCTGATACATCCTACAACACATACAGTCTAATACAGCCTAGCCTAATGATATATACGGTTTTGACAACTAGAAAATAAGCTTTGTCGAAACGCTTGTGGACGATTTTACCGCGCCCCGTCCCATCCCTATCCACCAGCAGGCTATCAATGTCGAAATACTTGAGGTCCATTTTTAATGTTTTTAGCTAGAAATTGTTTGAGTTTTGCTATAAAACAACGTTCTTTTGCAATGGAAACCTTAAACTCGGGCAATATATAACAGCGATGCATCATAGCAACTAGGCTTTCCCCTTGAAGTTTACGCCGTAAACTATGTGACTGTTTTATGAACAAAACTTATTCAGTAAATGCACAGTAAATGTCAATAATAATCAGATATAATTATCCCACGGCACATACGAGTGTATTTCACATTAACCGTATTTAGTCATATTTAGTCAATGCAAGCTATAAAATGAGTTATAATATATAAAACATAATAGTTGTCCAATGACCTTTGTTGCACCAAATTTCCAAAAGTGTTGCACAATGTTAATCACAGATAATTGATTAAACAATGCTAATGTGATCAATAATATTTTTATTATCCAACTCCAAATTTATGGCATTTTTGTTGCAACTGTAAGATCTATTTTCATAATTATTATTTAACACAGGTACGATCGGCGGCCTTATTTTAAGAGTGGCCAAATTGATAATAATTTTGAGAAAGAAACAAGATGCTTGTTAGTACTCCTAAAGGCATCTGATGAGGCGACCAAGTTGTTTCATATGGAACAACTTTACGAATTGATTGTTATTAATAACTAGTAATACTCAAGAAATAAAACTGATGAATTAGTAACAATAACAATGAGCTAAAGTAAAAGGAGTCCTGTTGCTTACTTAAGTCTTTATATGTTGTTTTACTAATAACACAAAAAACACATTGAAATAAATTAAAGCTTTTTAGAAATCCTGTTAAACAAACGATTAATATTAATGTTTCTTTATAAGACAATTGAACAATAACATAACTTATAAATATTATTTTAAGAGCAACAAGAAATATAAACTTGAAATTAGCTTTGATTAATATTATATACCTCAAAAAATAAGGTTAAGGAAACATTTAAATAAAGCAAATAAATAATAAAACAAAAACTTAAAAAATATTAATTAATATTTATTTTACTCTGAGTGAGCAGCCCATCTTCCTGTCTTGGTAGTACTTATAGGAAGGATGAGGACCATACAACATATAGCGATGTACAACGTAATTAGAAAGTAGAAATCTGTACTATTGAATTTGGACAAACCAGAAAATGTTTTGTCTTTATGTTAACATAAATACAAAAGATAAAGAAAATAAATAAATACAATAATAACAAAAAACTTAAATACGAAGACAACCTAATCTAACCTCCATAGGCCTAATACACGCTATATGAGGCCTAATATAGTACATAATGGGGCTATACTAGGCCCAGGTATATTTAAGTTTGTATCCAGCTTCATTTTTTCCGACTATAAAGTGAATAGTACCAGATTCTACTATCTAATTGCTTAGTACATCAATATTTGTACTATGGTGGACAAAGTTACAAGAATTACTATTTAAACACGAGGATGGTTGAGGAGACTGTTACTACCGCACCAATGATAACCTATCTTATAACCAGAGTGACAATCTTATATTTGGAGTATAATTGGTTGTTATGGGAGCTGTTCTAAACGACTATAGTTTCATCAGCAACTGTACTCCTATAATTACACTTGACAAAGTTCATCACTTTCAATAAAAATCTAGTTATTCTGTCATGTGAGATCTCTTAGACTGTCAAGGATTTCAGAAATGGAATTCTAGAGTTTCAAAATCTCATTTCCGGCATTAATTAATCCAGTCACTAACAGATCTCATTCAGTATTTTCATGTTTAGCTATAAACAACAAATTCATAGCTATCCGTGTAAACATAACTAAAAAATAAAAAGTTAAATTTTTGCCTCCATATTGAGCTGCTTTGTACATCAGTTATTTGCAGCGTTGCAAATTAAGTTAATCCAGTGTTACACAGTTGCTCACAATGAGTTTCCCCAGTTTCTTCAAAGATCTGAATTAAGAAAATCTTAAAATGATTGATCAGCAGTTGATTAATTGATTCTGGAATATAGCATTTGAAGGCTCTGAATGTCTGTTTTCTCGTGAATTTCAAGACCGTCGTGTGTGTTTTATTTAGATTCGGTAAATATTTAAAAGTGACATTGCCAGCATTATGTTTTAAATTTTCCTTTTGATTTCAAAGGCTTTTGGAAATAAACATGAATTATCTTGCCAGATATCTGTAATTTAGCGATGGAAACAAAAATGTGAGGAGGAATCTGTGAAAAACATCAGTCTACAACTCTACTCAACGTCAGATAAATCTTGACAAGAAAACGTTTCATTCGTGAAAAACAGACAAACTTCGGCCACTCAAAAAAATCGTTTAAGGACAGAAGCTGTACTAAGTCAAAGAATATTATTGTACACAAGTATTCCTATGTACACATATGAACACTGTGTACACATCGTTCAGCAAATTCAGAATTTTTTTCTTTCAAAGCATTCGCTGTAATATAATTAACACTCTTGATTATAGTTTTTAACACTTATCCCAGTTCCCCAAAACAAATTGAAAGGAATTTGCTTGAACAAATATTTTGTTAGCTGTTCTGTTGCTTATTTCTAACTTCAAAATTATATCATCTAATGTGTTTCAATTCGTTTGCAAATGCTTAATAAACTTATTTTTTTCCTTTTTCTGGAAAGGGTCAAAAAGGACAATCTAGGAGAATCTAGCCATGATACTTTGATGTCATTCCCCATCACTGGGTGCTTGTCCATGTTCAGCAATTGCCTATGAAACTACTACTGTATAAGTACTAAGCAAACCCAACAACAACTACTGTATAAGTACTAAGCAAACCCAACAACAACTACTGTAAGAGTTCTAAACTAACACAGCAACAAGAAGCTAACAAACCCAGCAGCAATTATGGAAAAATACCTAATACAAACCCGGCAACAAATACGGTACACCTACTTGGAACAAAAACAGCCACAACTACTTCCCAGGAACAAACCCAGCAACAACTACACCTACAGTACAACTAACTGGAACAAACCCAGCAACAACTATGGTACAACTGCCAAGAACAAACCCAGCAACAACTACAATACCAGGAACAAACCAAGTAACAACTATGGAACAACTACACAAAAGTTCCTAGCAACAACTACGGTACAACTAAAAAAAAGCAAAATCTATGAAACAACTACACAAAAGAAACCCAGCAACCACTACGGGACAACTACACAGAACAAACCTAACAACATCTACGGAACAGTAACACAAAAGAAACCCAGCAACAAATACAGAACAACGACACAAAACAATCCCAGCAACAACTACGGTACAACTACACCAAACAAATGCAGCAACAAGTATGGAACAACTACACAAAAGAACCTACAGAACAACTACACAGAACAAACCCAGCAAACACAATGGAACAATTACCTAAAACAAACCCAGCAATAACTTCGGTAGTAGGCATCCTTCAGTCTATAGACCATGGAGTTGCGCCCTGACAGGGCGTAAAGCCTGGGTAGGTAGATATGGAGGAGAAGCTGTTACCCATACAGCAGGTCCTCCCTCTCCACGTTGCTGAAATTATCCAATAGAAGGTTATCTTGAGATGATTTCAGGGCTTTTTAGTGTCCCCACGGCTCGGTCCTTGACCAGGCCTCCACCCCCAAAAAGCAACCCGTGACAGCTGACTAACACCCAGGTACCTATTTTACTGCTAGGTAACAGGGGCATAGAAAGGCAAATGCCAATACACATGGTTCCAGCAACGTCGCAGGAGCTGCCAGAATGAGGTCTTCTCTGAGTACTCTTTATTTTCTTCTCCGAGGCTATGGGTCCCTACACTTGCACCAGAGGTGGTACCCCTTCGAGGTTTAAAAAAAAATATAATATATATATATATATATATATATATATATATATATATATATATATATATATATATATGTGTGTGTGTATATATATATATATATATATATATATATATATATATATATGTGTGTGTATATATATATATATATATATATATATATATATATATATATATATATATATATATATATATATATATATATATATATCAAGTGGATATATATATATACATATATTGCGTATATTCTTGTGTGTGTGTATATATATATATATATATATATATATATATATATATATATATATATATATATATATATATATATATATATATATATATATATATATATATATATATATATATATATATATATATATATATATATATATATATATATATATATATATATATATATATATATATATATATATATATATATATATATATATATATATATATATTGGTGTATACTGGCAGCAGGTTTTCTTTCAAACATGTTTCATTGAATATGACCGCATATTCTGTATTTATTATTTTCTGGTTTAGGGCTTCTATCCCTCTAACTATTTTCTTAGCATCAGGGCTTAATTGGAATAGGAGTTCTCCAAAACTCATTTTCGTACTTTTAAGGTGAAGAAAAGAAGTGATTTACTATAGAGTGTATTACACTTATTTGTATAATTTGCACGACGTTTCGAACCTCCATGGTTCATTCTCAAGTGAACAATCTTACAATACTAGTTGATTTTATAC